GGACATCTTTCCAGAGCATCTTTGTGACCCTGTTTCATATTTACTAAGAAAGTTTCGTATCTTTTTTTGCTTTTCTGGATCTTTTGCAAAAGGTTTGAAATTGCTGGCTCTTGTGTTGGCTGCTCTTTCACTCAACGCCAAGTGCCACGAGCTGTGTCCGAGGTCTGGAGAGGACGCCTGGGGTCTGCTGTGCGGGGCATGCTGGGCCAGACTCCCGGCCTTGAGTTGAGCTGCTTTAAGATCAGTTGCCTGCTTTACCTCCTTAATCCTTTCTTTATCTTTTTGGGACAGAAACTCTAAAACTGAAGTAGCTGAGCCTGGAATAGGAGTCTCTCCTAGCAAGTCCCCGCGCTTAGAGGCATTCAGTTGGTGCCTACTAGGCGTCCCGAGGTCACATGCTGCCTTTCCAGATGACTCTGATAACACCTGAAGTAAGTGGGCGTTTTCTGAAGTTGCAGCTACAATGGGTCTGAAATAATGCACTGGTCGATAGTCTCTTGGCAACTCAGGTGGTGGATAAATCTTTTTAGAAGATAAAGATTTAGAAGCCAAGGAGAATCCATCCAAAATTTTGCCAACATATCGTAGATCTTTCTCTGATTCTTTCTGGCTTTTATATTGCTTGGGTGCTGTCCAGCCATATAGGCCATCTCCAGGCAATTCTCCTTTTATCCTCCCTAGTCATTGTCCAACTCTCTGATGCATAACAAGTGATTGCAAAAACCACGGCCTGTATCAGGCGCACCTTAGTCTCTAGACTGACATCGTTGCTCCTCAGTACTTTGAAGAGGTCAGATTTTCCCATCGCAATACATCTTTTAATTTCCTGGCTGCTGGTACCAAGAGACTATCATTCAAATATGTACCAACAACCAGAGAAAAAGAAGAGGACATAGAGGATATCTACCAACTTTGGCAGTCAGAGATTGATCAAACATGCAATCAAGATGCATTAATAATAATGTGTGACTGGAATGCAAAAGTTGGGAACAGAGAAGAAGGATCAGTAGTAGGAAAATATGAACTTGGTGAAAAGAGTCTGGGATTATGTTATAATGTTCTTTAATGGAGGACTCTTTAATATAATTTTTTATTATTTAAAAAAATTTGTTTTATAATGGTTTACATAAAAATTCATAAAGTTCGTATACAGTTTTTTACACCATTGCCTTTACTCATCCTATGAGGGATTCTTTCTTCAACCTTTTCTAGGCTTGTTAACTTGATTAGCTAAGCAGCACTCTGGCCGCTAAGGTTCCTGTGATAAGGAATCACTCACTGCCTTTGAGGTGGTTCCGACTCACAGTGCTCCTCCATCTGGTTTCAGAGGCTAAATAGTGACAGAAGTCTGCTCATCTTTCTCACACAGAGCCTCTGGGGGATTTGAACTGTTGGAGGGAGATATGCTGTCCTTTGGGTTAACAGTGCAACTGCTTAACGACTATGCCATCAAAACCACAGATAAGGAATAAGGACTGTAACAAGCTAAGAAGAACTCAGCTCATAGAAATCATCATAGTTGACAGAAATACAGTAACAACTCCTGCTAATGGAGTTCTGGTGGCTTAGTGGTAAGGAGTTAAGCTGCCAACACAAAGGCACATAGTTTGAATCCACCAGCTGCTCCATGGGCGAAAGATGGACAATCTCATTCTGTGAGATTTACTTCCTCTGAGAACCCACTGAAGGATGAGCTATGACTTGTTCTAAC